TTCACATTTTGACATATCTTGCATTTGATAGTTTATGTTACGGTAATTAGTAACATTTCATATTTTTAGATTTCTAAGAAGTTAAAGTAACTTTGCACAAGCCAGAAATAGCAGTCAAGCAGTACTTACTATCGTGGAAAATCTATAGATACGGGTTCTTTAATTGATGTCGAAACAATTTGTAAACATAACAAAAAACACGTTTATGGATACGAAACGCAATTGCCTTCTCAGTTTCCAGACTTTAATGATCATTAACATGCAAACCTAATATACATTTGTATATTGTCTTAAAGTTTAATCGTAACTTGTCTATGGGCACTCGTCCTTGAAAATAGTTAAATGATCGTAGATTATCTTTAAGATTAAAGAAGGCGCAGCTAGATCGTAAATTTAAAAGAGGGCTGCGCAATCGTTCAATAATGAAATTGTACTGAAATAAACCCAATTTATTATATATATATATATATATATATATATATATATATATATATATATATATATATATATATATATATATATATATATATATATATAACATTATTTCATTGTTTTAAGCGGTGATCAAATAAGGACAGACTGGTGCTCATTTCGTCAACAACTCTCTCTCTCTCTCTCTCTCTCTCTCTCTCTCTCTCTCTCTCTCACACACACACACACACACACACACACACACACACACACACACACAAAGACATGGCAGTACCCTTATTATATTAACCGTCTCATTTTGCACGACACTGACTATGATGTCAATATCGCATAGAACAAAGAGACATTTGTTATTGTGTTTTATCTCCACTAATATTGAATCATCCGAGTTCCTCCAGTGTAGAAATACTTGACTACTCGATGAATAAACGTTGTGATAGTTGACTGCTCTACCTGCTTATTGCGTGATTTAAGTCCAATCTGAAAAGAAGCAAGTGCAGACTGACCTCACAATTTCTGTTCAACTCCACTTTTTGATTGGAAGATACTTATTTCATTTCGTACCTGATTCTTTTGCTGGTTCACGTTTGATATAGATTTTCCGAGCAGTGCATTTTTGTTCAGCCCAGCGAGTCACAGGAGGAAAAGGTGATCGTACGGTAAAGGTGTGTGTTTGATAGCATATTCCCAATGCAAATATGCTTTTGGAACTGCCTGATTGTCTTCAAATGAAATGAATGGAGTTTCTGCCAGTGTATCGGAGGTTTATGTACGTTTACCGAGGGACTCAGTGATAAAGAACAATGTATCAGAATGTGATTAAAGTAAAGGCTACACTCTTGTGTGTACCCCTGGACCAGCCTGTTTATTCAAGCTAGGAACATTTAGCAATTTAACACATAAACTACGTGCGATCTTCCAAAAGGACGAGTAACATTGTACATTGGATTCCCCTAATGCAATTTCATCGTTTCAAAAGAAAACAGGTGAAACGGGAAAATATCAATCATTCAGTTGAGAATCTTCAACTGTAAATCGTACTGGGCTTGTGGTTGCCATTATGGCTTCAAAGAGATCGGGTCAAATTTATTAGAAATCTAAATTGAATCTCCTTGTTCCTCGTAAAAACTCTCTTATCTTTTATTTGGCAACGAAGAAGACTTGTCAGCTGAGGTTTGAGAGTGAAAAGATAGCACTTTGAAAGTACACCGGACCATTGCATGGTATCTTCAAAGGTCAATAAGGCAGAAAATCCGGAATACTGAAGGTAATGTTGTTTTTTTTTGAAACCACAAATACTAATTTTTCTTTTCTTTTATGAATGAAAAAGATTATTATCTGACAATTAGCACCCAACCATCCATTAACTGTTTTGTAACCATAATACGCTATGTTTTATGTTTTTTCTATTGTTATATTTTAACGGCATCTTTAAAATATATTTCGTTACATAAATGCATATGAACAGGGAGGAAAAGAGCTATTCCAAGGACCGCCGAGGCAAAGGACCTGGGCTCACCTGGGTAGGTATCGAACCAACGACTATTTGATTACGAGCTATGAACTGAGCTATTTCGGCCCCTATATCAGTTATTCGTGGTTATTTGTATTGATATGTCACCATTCTTAAAGTTTCTCACCTGTTGATAAAATTACCCGTTATATTTAGGTGTCATATAATTGCATAACTAAAATGTATTTATTTTAGTTTGGAGTAAAGGAGTATCATGCCCTTAACTCGAAATACACTTAGACCTGTTCGAGACGTGCACTTCTGTAAAAAAACAAAAACACATCAAAAGTTTCATGCCCTTAACTGGAAATACACTCAGACCTGTTCGAGACGTGCACTTCTGTAAAAAAACAAAAACACATCAAAAGTTTCATGCCCTTAACTCGAAATACACTCAGACCTGTTCGAGACGTGCACTTCTGTAAAAAAACAAAAACACATCAAAAGTTTCATGCCCTTAACTCGAAATATACTCAGACCTATTCAAGAGGTGCACTTCTGTAAAAAAAAAAAAAACCACGTCAAAAGTGGATAATATTTCAAGGTCCCTAAAATACAACCACAGCGATGATTGCACATAGGTAATCATTGGCGGTGTTCTATTTTAATGAAAATTATTATTATTATTATTATCATGTATTATTATTATTATTATTATTATTATTATTATTATTATTATTATTATTATTATTATTATTATTATTATTATTATTATTATTATTATTTCTTTTTGCCTTTTGCCTTTTTGGGGATTGATGGTCTCCACATGTGAATTATATAACAACTTTTAACTGATGTATACAATTAACATGGAATTATGTTGGTTTTGCAGTTCTTGAACTGTGGTGAATGCTTTTGTAGTCGACACAATGTCTTATGTCAGCTGCTTTTTGAACTTTCAGTTAGGTTATGACTAGTAAAATATAAGAAGCTTGAGAACTGAACTAATTATGGGCATGATATTTTTACATTTGTAAGAGTCCAAACAGTACAAGAACATACATAAATTATGATTGACGAGTATTGTACTTGGCACTATAACATACCACGGGACAAAAATGATTACTGAGAAGAGTATTAATATATCATTGTTAGTCACGCATGTCTCTATTTTAATTAAGCTAAGAAAATAACTTATATTATTGGTATGATTTTGATCCCATTTGATATGTCTGATAAATTACATTTTAAAATCAATAAACCTTGGGCTCCTCTATTGTATTGTAATGGGGAATTGGCCAAACAAATCAACGTTCATAGATGCAGTGCAGAATGCACCTGTATTCTGTACATTACACTTGAAGAATCTACACAAACATAAGATAGCCTACTATGCCTTTTGTCCAAGGTACATCTTATTATTTTTTTTTATTTCTCTCACCGAGAGTGTGCAAGGTACTCGATAAATAAAAATGGAGAAATAGAATATTGCACCTAAATATTCACTTTGGTAGATTTTTATGTGGGAACTCTATTTCCGAAACATTTGTGAAGTCTATATACGTGTATGAGAGAAACGCAAATTTTGAAGTATGACGTTCACCTACAAACCCCGAATAATATTATCCGCCTTCTATTATGATTTCTTTTTTCAGTGTACAGTCATTGAACTATGTTTTGGCACGTCATCTGTATCTACTTGCACTGCAATCTGATCACAAGAAATGTTATCTGGAACATGTACACAAAGGAAAGCGTTGAATTTGACTCCTCTAAAAATATCTCGATCGATCATACATTTTACTGACATCAGGTGGTTATATTTTTTTTTTATATAAAATCTAGCAAAATGTGAACACAGTGACATTTGCAAAATTTACAGGTAATTGAAACCTGCTATTTAGAATGACAATCTTCCAATCGTAAAATATATTATAATAAAGTGTGTATAAATTTTATGAGATCAATCTTTCTAAATCAAAAGGTCGATGTGGGTCTGAGTCGATCGCATGGCTTTCAAATGTCGAATAGTGAAATCAAAATATAGATAGGAAGAAAAAGGTAGCTGAGACACGTATACGTTTGTAATTTTGCGTTTTGTATTTTGTATACGAGAACATTAAAAAGACCAAAATTTAAAGAATGCATTGTTAAGCTAGAAAGACGTGGAGGTGCTTTTGACAGTCAAAATTAACAATTAATATGTCACTTATTATTATTTTGTTGTTTTGTACATCTTGTTTAGAGATACGATATTCCTCCAGAACACACCTCGTTCGATGTTGCAAAAGACTAAAACAAAACTACAAAAATAAAAAATACTTGGCTAGTCACAGTGAAGGTCTAATTAGTGACAGAGCTAGGCCAGTCAAATCAGATTAAACTAGATTAAGTCAGACATTCATATTTGTATATCACCATCTTGAGTTTGTGAAGGAAAATAATGAATACTAATTTGTTGGGGGGGGGCTTCCTGTAAACTACTAATACTACTACAAAGTTAATCTGCATTGAATTGGGTGGTTATCACCGATGTGATAAAAATATTTCATGCGTTTTCAACGAAAAGCATGAATGTCAGTGTCAAGGGATTGCAGAAGGCAGAGACCGGACAAATATTTAAAATCAGTTCAGTAATATTAGGTGACCCAGTTGTTTACTGGCCGTATAGAGGACCTGTTTTACGAATAAGAGCTATATCAGTATGACAAACTAAACGACATATACAAAGTTAAAATAATTTTGATTCAAAATGAATAAACATTTAAAATCAACGTAAATTAGTGAAACGGAAAAGGTATGATGAAATGTTTAAATCTGAAAAGATTGTGGCTTCCAAGTAAATAGAGGAAGAACAATACGGAGAGAGAAGTACCATGGTTTAAGATGTCACGTGATTATGATTTTTAACGTAGCTTTAACAATTTTGCAGTAATATCGCTACTATGTCTGCAGTGTGGCAGTTTATAGTGGTGTTTCATGCGGCAGACATGAAGCATGATGTCCCACCCAGTCGCATTATCCTGACACCAGGCCGACCAGTCCTAACACTTACCTCTTAATGCTGAGCGTCAAGCGAGGCAGCTGTTAGTACCATTTTTGTAAGTCTTTGGTATGACTCGACCGGGGATCGAACCCACAACCTTCCGCATCCGAGGCGGACGCTCTAACCACTTGACCACCGGACGGTTTCAGGTTTAAGAAAACATCGAGTCATTGAAAGACAAAGAGTTTATAGAATCTTTATGATAAGGGAAAGTATATGCATTAACGGAATGACAACTGCTTTGATTATTAAATATGCGGGGAAAATGAATAGCATCAGATGTAAGCAACACAGTGGTGTCCATAAAAAAATATATATTGTTAAGACTTCTATAATGATGTTAATATCCTAAAAGATAATAAATAATATCACAGAAGAGATCTAACTTTAAAAAATATCAATTCTATTTCAACTATCCATGAACATCTGATAAATACAATTTCAAAAACACAGCATATCTACAATACTTTGAACGAAATAAGATACACCAAAAGTATGCAAGTATTGTTTCAATCATGGAGACATTAAAACTTTTTCAAATCTCAACCCAAAGCGCTTGGCGGAGTTATACAATCGATGAAGCAATTTTTCAGCACACTTTTCGTACAATATATACGCAGCCATAAAACATTATGTAACAAAGAATGACCAAAAATTAACTACAATCAATATGAGACGTTTTACTCACGTTGATGAAATAAAATCTACTACAACGTGTAAATACTCAGATTCTGAAAGTGAGTTTTTCAAAACTTTCATTTGAATTCCAGTAGTTGTCTAAAATATGCTACACAAATAAATGGCACAATTAATATTTGAGGTAAACTCACTTGTAAAATGTAAAAGAAGATAAAATCCAATAGAGACAATGCAGATACGAAACGCAAAATGATAGAAATGTTTACATGTGAATATGGAAAAACAGTAAACAGAGACTCACTTCATTTTCAAACAAATTTCAATTTTATATAAGTTTATTGTTGAATAAATTATTTAAATAGTTTCGAGGCCACACACGTACTTTGCCTGACCAAATTAATTAATATATTTTGGTGCATAAGTGAATAAAATGTTTCAATTAACTTATGTCATGTTTCAAGCGTTGTTCTTTATTATTATCCTGCGGTTCAATTTGACGTTCCATGCCCAGACTTCGTACACATTCTGTAAGATTTATCAAAGATATTTAACTAAATAAAATTTACAATTGTTCGCTTAAGAACCATTAAACTGTTTTGATAACTACGCATTGAAATGTAACAAGGATGAGTCAATAAACATATGCAGATTACAGTATAACAATTAATTAACTAAACTGGACTAGTTAACATTTGTCCGTGGTATATAGTACTGGCATTTAACAGACGAGTGCCAGAATTAGTCAATTTGGTTATAGATTTCATCTTTGCTTCCAGATTTGTAAATAGCTGAGAGAGTATAAAAGTTGCTTTCTCAGGTCAACGTGATTTTATTTGTGTTGTTGTTGTTTTTCAGCACAAGATAGGCTATACATGGCTGCCAGTATTAATGGCGGAGGTGGAACCCTGGAAAACCCCGGGGAGAACCACCGACCAACGAGAAGCTACTGGCAGTCTTTCTCACTTACCCACGTTAGCATAGTCTGGTTTTTTATAATACCATTTTAAAATTTAACTGTTACGTGATAGAATTAATTCTATAATCAGGTAAAAAAATGAGACAAGTGACAAGAAAGTAGCAGTCTTAGAGATGAGAAAATATCAACGGTAAACGAAAACGTCGAAACATAGTCTGTTTACACTGTCATGGATCTTTTTAAAATGATATTAGAGTTATGTTTTAGACACAGAGATTACGGAGGTGCCAAAAGATTGTCAGGTTTTCAAAAGTAAACACTTGATTCTAGACTACGCTGTTTGTGGCATATTTTTTTTGTTTGCCGTGACTTGGTTAAAAAAAAATGGTTACTATCTTTGTATTATAAAAATAATCTGAAAAGTCCAAAGACATATTTATGGCATCCAGTCAGCCTTGGTACATTGATGGCTGGTGTGTCTACAAAGTATGATAAGTATCATGTGACAATACGACGAAAAACATTACAGAGGCACATGTCGAACTTGAAACACAACAAGCAATGCAGACCATGAAAGAAACAAAGAAGCATTTGTATTCATACGTACGGTTTCAAAATCTGCTTGAGTTTTCCTTTTGAAACATGTTATAAATTATTACTTTTGTGTTCTACTTTCGGGAGAGCTAGCCTTTAGTGATGATTTGTTTTTAAACAATATTGCTGCTTCAGTGTTCACTAACTCAAAGAAATAATTACTAAGTTTTTAAGTCTGTTTAATTTTGTTAACCAAGAAGTTTTTTTGCCTCCTTACGAACCACTACTATTACTTGACCCTTAATTGTTTTGTTGGGTTTGGGGGTGTCTCTAGCTATATTGTTCCATTATTTATTATGTAAAATTAAAACTACATTGGTATTCAATTACTGGTTCCATAAACTGACCAATCCAGTGATTGTTATAATTTGCAATTGGCTTTTTCTTCCCCAAATAAAAGGTGTGCAGAAGTGACATTGTGTCCTATAGCGTCCAAAATAAAAGTATTAGTGTACTTGCGATGTTTTCAAAACACAAGTCTTGCTGACCAAATTTTTTTAAAATATGGTCTCATATCTTCATATGGGATATTAAAATACAGAAATATAACTTAGTTCCTTCGTGTTCCTCGTCACCAGTGTTAGCGCGAGGAGCGGGGTCGGGTGTTGGGATGGTAGAGTTTCCCCAGGGCGCCAGGCGTCTTTATTTCTTTATTTGCAGCTGAAACTGTATTTCACGTTCACCTTGGTGTAACGGGGGCATGACTTATCTTTGGGAGAAGAAAGGTGGTTGGCAACTAACGAACATAAAAACAGTTTTCTGTTTTATTGTAGGGATGGACTAAAGAACATTGCCCCTGGGCGCATCAAAACCTCTCGTAGCCACGGCTTACAATTCACGATCAGTTGTCCAAAAGATACGGGTCAGTATGATACTTTCTGTAGAAATTTATTCCAATAAATCTGACTGCAAATCTCAAGTTTATTTTTTCCGAAAACTGTGGAAAATTCAAGGGGAACAAGTTGTCGGTCAATTGCATTTTTAAAAAAAAATGTATTAAAAAACATCCTTATCATTTCTAATAAGTTTACGGTTGAATTATCTGCGAATTTGTGTCCAAAGATATAGTGTTATAATGAATACATGACAACAAACAAGCGAGTCTTTCTAACCACTAATATTACTCTTTACAAATTAAATGTTTTCGGCCGTTAGAGACCTCTAGAAATAATGGGAATCTGTTAAGACCTATTGGAAAGTTACTTCTTTCATCACGACCTTGATCATAAGTCAATATTTCGAAAGTAAACATGCAAAATTGTACTATACAAAGTCTCTGTCCTTTGATCATTTCTAGTAATGTGTGTTTATTTAAACATAAACAGTTTACACAAGGCACTTCATAGTAATTTTTCTAAACTCGTTCAATGCTAAGTAACGAAGTTCTGGACTACAATTCCATTTGAAAAAGTAAAAAGGACATGAATCAATTCAGTCCTGCTTGCCGTTTTACAATGGCATTGAGAAACAATGGTGGTCTCCAGCTAGGGCTAACTCTGAAATCAACTTTGTATTCAGAAAAAGACACATCTTTTTTTACTTTGAACACGTCGTAAATTTATTTGTCTTTCTTGGGTAGTTTTGCGCTTATTGGGCACCTAACCACCATAAAATCATTTGGTCCTCATTGTCCTTTTTAAAAATTATTATTATAACAATATAAAAAGCCTGACCCAGTAGGATGACCGTTACCCAATAGGACAGTGACCCAATAGGAGGACCGTGACCCAATAGGAGAACAGTGACCAAATTGGAGGACCGTGACCAACTAGGAGGACCGTGAACCATTAGGAGGACAGTAGCAATATGTCTCTAAGTGTTTCATTAATAATAAATGCAAGTTGAGTTTCTTTGTATGAATTAGACGAGTTATTATATAAAAATAAAGCAAGACTTTACAGAAAATGTAGCCAAAATGTAGTGTCAAATTTCGTACAAGTGTGAAATATACATTCATATATACATGAATGCATGCATGCACACATATAAACACACATATACAAAAACACACAAACTCATAACTGAACTAAAATTCGTTTTTGAGTGAAAGCAACTCCGCTTTTTGGGATAAAATGCAGATATTAAGCTTCATGAATTAAAAATAAATTTTCACAATTACTGAACCATTTATATGTCCTCGGTATGAGTCCTGATTTACTGCAGAAACAAATGTTAATGCCCTTATAATGTATAACTATGAATAGTTAATTCATTCTTGATTGAATAGGTGGTCCTTTTAACATGAACCGGTACGAAGATTGTATTCACAAATCGCAAAGTATTTGAGTGTCAAATTAGGAATGAAATATGACTAGCTATCCAAAATGAATTCATACTAAATTGAAAAGGCGAATATTATCTACTTTTCTAATGTAACACTACAAGGATCGTCATGTAAAAGGAATAAAGGAATTTATGTTTCTTTTCTCGTTATATTATCAGATATTTGACTGAGTGAGAATTAAAATGCCGACACTTTGACGTTCGATATGTATGACAATTGTACACTTAATGACTTTAGCCACATAAAAAGCGAGATATTTGCGACAAAATGAAAGTATTGTTAATTAGGGTTAATGTGACTTAACCACCCTAACTGATTCAGTTAATCTATCGTTAAATTGCTGACAGTATTTATCTGTTATTTCAAAACATTAAAGGTCTAGACGAAACCAGAGTTTCACAAATTTGTAAAATTCCTGTGAAAGTAATTCGTATTCATTTCGACACCGTTGATGAACTCGGTAATAGACGAATCTACCAGCAAATAACATAGAACATTATATGAAGTCGTTTAATCGGGCGACAGATAGGTGTCTTTGACTTCTCTTTAATGAAAAGGAAATATTACTTTCTTTTAGAACACCATAGCTTCTGAATTATCTTTTTGCCACACGTTTTGTATCCAGAATTTCACAGCCAACCGTGCGAAGTGTTTCTACGATTGAATGATAAAGGTTATTCAGCTACATATATTTTACTAGCAACGTTGACAA